TATATATATATATATATATCATGTGTGCAAAAAATAATTTAAGATGCAGCATAACTAGGCCAGGCCTTAGTTTTGACAACCAGGGTGCTGGGTTTAGCACTCTGCAAGTACACTGCATGGATTTTTTGCACACTGCTCTATGGCATCTCAGGTTTCAGACCTTGCAGTATATCCTGGTCACTCTGCTTTTCCCTTAAAGTGCTTCCAAATTGATCTGATTATTCCCACACCTCATCCTACCATCTCTAAGCCCCTTGAAGTTTGCCTCTTACCTACTGTGCCTTTTTCAACAAATGTATATTTCTAAGTACAGGGAAGGCTGAGGTGGACATTTGTGGTGCAGTTTATTTTTATTTCTCAGATTGCTGTGCTAATAGAACATGCTGTTAACAGCAGATTGTCAGATTGTTTGAAGCAGGTGAAGTCAGTGACCTGAGATTAGGTCATTGTTCTATTTGTTTCCATAATAGTGTAAATTTACACACATTTTTACAGTTTTGGGTTTGTCTGTTGGGAAAAGAGTACCAATGCACATGCACAATCCACAGAGCACATTAACTTGGACATTGTCATTGGTCATGATCATCAACATATGACCACAGAGCACATTAACTTGGGCATTGTCATTGGTCATGGTCATCAACATATGACCACAGAGCACATTAACTTGGACATTGTCATTGGTCATGGTCATCAACATATGACCACAGAGCACATTAACTTGGACATTGTCATTGGTCATGGTCATCAACATATGACCACAGAGCACATTAACTTGGCCCAGGTGTTGGCCTACCTCTGTGGGTGCCTTCTGCAAAAACAATGTTGAGCTCAAAATTGGGTGGTTTACACTTAGGTAATTTTAGGCACAGAGCTCCAGTGCCTCCACTGAATACAATTTGAATTATCACTAATGCAAAATAGAGTCACCATGGGCTTATGAGAACATGCAAGGTCACATGGGGGCATCCAAGGTCATATGAGGGTATCCAAAGTCAATGACCTCTGTTGTCAGAAGCATGCTGCAAATGCGTTTGATTTTTTGATGTCTCTAAGTTGTTCATCAATGGGTGTTAGAGGTTCTAGAGGTAAATTGTGAAGATAAATGTCACCAAGGTGATCAGTTACCCTGTTGTGCACACAATATTTGAGGGCCAGTGTTTTTGTACTAGCAATGGCAGCTGGGCGGCAGGCTGGCTGGAGCCTGGACCATGCTTCTCAGCTAATGCGAGGCAACACAGATGTTGGATGAGCGCCATGAAGATCTCTGCAGGTTCATAGCACAAACAAGGTCTCTACGTGGGCGTTGTTGACACAGGACACATAGGGACATCTGTTTGTATTAGAGCCTTTTGACCAGAAATGATAATTTTAGGGCTATGGGATGAAGGAGAATGGTTGACAATGGGGCAGACCGCACGCGCCTGGGGGGCCAACCGCCGAGCTTTTAACCCGCACATGCGTTCTGGATACCCGGTCGGGGTCCCCTTTCCCACGGGGCTCTCGGCCCACTCGTGGCTGACGCATGCAGCCTGCCCCGGACAAGCGGGGTGTCGCGAGGATGCGGGATGAAGCGAGATAGAGCGTAAGAGGGACGGATGGGGAAAGGACAGACACCTGGCCGTCGGCCCTTTTTATCTGCGCACGCTCTGACCTCGAAGTGTTGATTTCGGGGAGGTAAGTGTGCAAGCAAAGCGTCAGGGAAACAAGCATGTGCTTAATGTTGTTTGATGGCATCCGCCAGTACTTTGTCCACAGTATTGATCACTGATCAGTTTGTTTTACTTGTTTGGGTGAACAGAAATCAGTTTTTTTAGGTGGACGGGTGAGATCCTGCGGCTAGTTTGCAGTTGGTGGCTTGCGTGTGCGTGTGCGCGCTGTCCGGTTGGTCCAGGCTCTCGCCGTGCCTGAGTTACGGGCGCGTCGGCTGACCAGAAATTAAGTCGCATGTCTGGCTCCCACTGACGCGGGTGTCAGTGACACGCTGTTTCTGACACACTGTTTCTGACAGAGCCGCTAAGATCTGATTTAGAAGTTCGGTGTGGTCATGGGATCGTAATTGGGGAACTATGACTTGGAGGAAGAATTCAAAAGTAGGATGGCCATTATTATTCGTTTCAAAACAGATGGACCGATCCCTTACACGCACATCTCTGGTATTTGAGCTGAGGTGGCCGGGCAATAAGTCAACAGAGTTGAACGCGCCTGTGACATGTTGTCAGGCGCGCCAGCTCAAACATTTCCGATTTATGCGCTCAGTAGTCTCGTGATGCGTTGTTGTAACGGTCTTTCGCCGACAAAATCATCTACTGTGACATCAAATGTGACAAAAAATCACATGTGACATGTGACAAAAAATCAGGAAAGTATGATAAGCATATGCACGCTGCTACATTTAAGCACGTAACTGCGCTTTAATAGAGCTAAGCGAAATATGTAAACGGCGTTAACTAGTAATTTCGCAGGACACATTCATACTTCAACTGTTGCATATGAAAGCCCAGGTGTTGAACCACGTATAAATATGGGGTCATGTTTATGTTAAAGCACAGAAAAACTGTTACGTATGCGCTTTAAGATGCCCAAATATTAAATAAATACGAAGATGCCATAATAAATGTTAGCCTTCGAGGCACTACCGCGGTTTCGTGGGCTGCACGGTGGTGTAAGTGGAGATGGCGTCTTGGATACCTGGGTGGTCTTAAAATAGTCTTCCCGAAATAGTCTGGACATCTTTGCGGGCATGTAGCTCAAAAATTAGACGGGTTTAGGTCTTCAAAAGGGCAGGGCTGTGAACCGCACAGAATGATCTTCAAGATGGTCGTTTCATTTCAAAACCCGGTGTAAATGTGGAACACTCCCTTTAATGCGTTTCATCTTGTGTTCCGTTTGTTAACAGCGGTGTTGAATCGTGCAATGCTCTGATTGCCGCTCACTCACAACATTTCTACAGGTCCTGATGTCAAGCCTGATGTCAGGCCGGATCCGCTGGCGTTGTCACCGTCGCCAGTGGATGTCTTCACCCCGGTCGGTGGTCCGGCTGAGTTGTTGGGTACGGATTCAGATGCGGTCATCAAAATCGGTCGTATGGATTGGCATCAGTTACAACCGGCAACGAGAACTACGCGCTATTTTCGTTTGATGAGCGGAACGCCGCCGGGAATGACCACCATCTGCTATTCGGGTCGCACGCAGGCAGTACATTACAACTGCGTTGGTAACCCGCTGTTCGCTTGTGTTCGTCATGAAGATAGAGGTGGTCTCTCACTACCCCTCCCCCCACCTTTGCCCCAGTCCGGACGAGTTGACGTTGGTTGTAAAATATCTGATGCATGGTGCAATGTGGTCATCCAAAACACTTTTTCAGACGCTCCTAACGATATCAAGCCTGATCCGTTGGCATTGTCGGCTCCATATCTGCGTCTACTGAAAGCGGCTAATGGCTTCTCATCTCGTACGACAGGTATGAATCCTTAGAAGCGTCCGTTGATCTGACGAGACGATTGCTGTCCGTTGCTGCGGTGAGCCGTGCTGGCGTACTCCATCCACAAATGGGCACTGGTCATATGTGTCTGGACCCTCAACACAATATGGCCGTTAGGGATGTGGAATAGGTGTGTCGTCTCTATGACGTCATACATTTGTGGGCTACTTCAAAGTAGTGGCACGAAATAGTCTGCACAAGTTTGCGTGTGAGTTAAAAAGCGGAAGGGTTTGAAGTCTTTGAAAGAGCACAGCTATCAACTGCATTGAATTTTCTTTTCTTGAAAAGGGGTTTCAAAAAGCCATGCACTAGTGGAATATCTCCTTTAACGTATCCACGCACACTGGCTGATGAATGGCATTCCTTCGTACACGCAGGAGTTCTTGTCGTATTCCCGTGTCCACAAATAACAAAATTTCATTTGTAGCTCTGCACGTAATAATAATGGCACATATTTGGTTCGTAAGTCCATCACATGCGAGAGAAATTTCTAATATAAATCGTAATCACTAAAGTATGTCCATTTGTGTTGTTCTTGCGTGTTGTAAAAACCCTGTGGGATGTTCTCACTGGGTGGCGTATGACCTCTGCTTGATTATTGTATGTTCAACCTGGTGCGTGAACGGATGTAGCCCACTTCCTCGGTCTTCTGGTAAAATTGTGCATTTCCCTGTCCAGCCGGCCGTAATCCGAGCTAGGTCGCACCTGGACAGGCTCTCTCTGTCCATGAAGGCCGTGATGTGGCCCTATCGGCACTGTGATGTGGCATCTCTTGCACGTTTGGGAATCCGATGTTGGCCTAAATTGCGACAGTTGTCTTAGAAAATATCAGTTTTTCCTGGAGGATGCGTGTGAATTAAACTGGCAGTTTCAAACCATGCTGAGATGACGCGCCATGGTCGCGGTTACTGAGTGGCAACTGTGATAGAATGCAGTTGGGAAATCAGATGAACTCAGGTTTTGCCTCTGAATGTGTGTTGTGTCCACCGCTAGCTGTTGCCTGGGAATTAACTATCTGTTTCTCGGCCTGGGGTTGCCACTACTGTCGGGCAGCTTACTCAAATCAGTTATCATTCGGCTGCTCTGTGAAGGGTATTTGGTTACCCGTGTGGTCTGTCCGGAGCGCGGACCCCAAATAGCAACCATCTGCTGTATTTGCCAATCGTCTGTATTTTCAGGCAGGCGTGACATTAAGAATGGGTTTCTGAACAGGTCGGTCGGCTTTCTTTTCCAAGTCTGATGTTTAACAACGTATTATACGATAAGATGTAAGAATGGTACTGCTGCTGCATTGCAGAGACCATATGAGAAATTGGGAGACGGCAAAATTATTTATCCGTGTACACCAAGCTGGAATATGCAGGTTGTGGATCGGCAAGATAAATGGTATATGCGATATTTTTAGACCTCTGTGTCACTTTTCTAAGCAATACTTGCAATATGTGGCGATACGCAACAGGCGAAGAAATGATGTTCGATATGGTAATGAGGGCGCAGTCATCTCTATTACTGGTCTAAAGTTGGTCAAGATGCGGCGACTGTCCGTCGGTGATGGTGATGCGGTGACATGCGGTGACTGTCCGTCGGTGATGGTGATGCGGTGACAGATGTGGTGACTGTCCGTTGGTGATGGTGATGCGGTGACAGATGTGGTGACTGTCCGTCGGTGATGGTGATGCGGTGACAGATGGGGTGACTCTTCGGGCTTGATTTCACCGCAATGCAACTTTTTTACCCTCCTTTGGCTTGGCGTTAGCAACGCACCCATATGAATGGCCAAAGTCGTGCCTCGTGGTCTAACTCCAGGCCTGTGTTTTCAGATGCTACTTGGTTCTGCTGTGAATACTGCAATTTCCAGTGTTTCGATCCAGGTGGTCTCTCGGAGCACGTTAAGTGCCAGCATCAAGAGAAGTCGCTGGACTCGGCTTTGCCGGACCGAAGGCTCGTTTCAAACAACCAACGCGTTCAGGCTCCCACTGACAAGCCTGGCCTCTTGACGAGGCCGTTCAGATGTCACGTGTGCAACGCTCCGTTTACGCGAAGCGATAGCCTCGCGTTGCATGTTCGGATCCACACAAACCAGAGCACATGTGGTTTTACGGAACGTAGACGGACGCGCACCGGCGAGAAGCCGTTTCCTTGTGAGCTCTGTGGGCGGTCGTTTCGGCGCAGAGGCACCCTCGCGCGTCACCGTCTCACCCACACCGGTGAGAATTCGTTCAGATGTGAGATCTGTGGAAAGTCGTTTGTTTCAGGCGGCAGCCTTACGCTGCATACTCGGACTCACGCCGGTGAGAAGCCGTTCGGTTGTGGAGTATGCGGGAAAGCGTACAGTCAGCGTGGAAGCCTTAGGTATCACCTCCGGACTCACACAGGTGAAAAACCGTTCAGCTGCGAAATTTGTGGGCGGTCGTTCATTCAAAGGAGCCACGTTACCAACCACCTCCGGACACACTCAGGGGAGAAGCCGGTGAGTTGCGAACTCTGCGGGCGGTCGTTCTCGCAAAAGGCGGACCTCATTTCCCACCTCCGCACTCACACAGGTGAAAAGCCGTTCAGTTGCGAAGTCTGTGGTAAGTCGTTCAGGCAGAGCAGTGGCCTTAGATGTCACCGCCGGACCCACACCGCTGAGGAATCGTTCAGTTGTGAGGTTTGTGGGAAGACGTTTAGTCAAAGCAACAGCCTGAGGGTGCACGTGTGTTCACATCGGTGAAAATTCTTACTGATGTCATAACACGCGCTCGGGAGGAGGTTCGGCCAATTCCCCCCCGTTGCCTAAAATAACCTCCGAACGGTGCAGCATAGCGGCGCCTAACCTTTTCATGGCCGGATCCAATTAAACAGGCCGATCAGGTTAGAACCAGTCACCAGTGTGACTGGTGCAACACCAGTGGTATTTTGCATAGTACAAATATTTCTGTTGGGATGGTCGCATGGGGAGGTCTTGGGATTTCCGGGCATTGTTCCGTAGTTTGGCCTGGTTTGACCTTACTTAACTTTGGGGTCATGACCTAGGGGCTAAGTTTGGCGCAAGTGAGCTCTCATGCGGAGTTATCTACGTTGTGATTTTGGTGTCTCTAACTTTTGTAGTTTTTTTTAGATCTCAGGGGGTCAAATTGAAACCTCCCCCACCTGAGCGGCGTCCCATTTAGCCGGCCACCCGGGCGTGTGTCAGCGGCGGAAAACTTCTGGCCACAACGAGTGATATGCACGCTCACATTCGTGGCCACTTGGTTCAGAACGCTGCTCGTGGAGCGTGTCATAACACATCCCTGCAAAGAAATGTGATCGTTTGTGAAATGTGCGGTGAATCGTTTGACGTGAAATAGTCACATTCAGTTACGCTTCAAGGCACCTGAGTGGGTTTTCGTTCGTGGTGTTTTAAAAGCCGTTTTTGTACAATGCGCTTTGCATGTCCATGGCTCCCGCAGCGCGTGTGGTGCGTGTCTGCGTGGTCCGCCAGAAATAAAATAAAACCTGTCGTTGAGTCTGGTCTTGCAGTATCGTTTTTGGTTCAGCCGCACAGCGAAAGTGGTTGACTCCGACAGTGAATGAGATACATTCGAAGCACTTAAGCCTGAGAAGAGCCTATTTCAGATCCCACAAGCTCTATCTTGAACCAGGGCAGGAGCCATAGTTTTGGTAAGAAGGGGTGGGGGTAGTAAACAGCTTGATAGACAGTTCCCGGTGAAAATGTACCCCGAAAAATCACCAGATTTGGAGAGCGGTGGGGAAGAGCATGTTTTTACCGTTCAAGTTCTTGGGAGGCCTCCTTCCCCAAATTTCTGGCATTGTAACTACCCATAAATTGCGAAAATTCAGATCAAGGAGGCTCCATAACAGGGTCAGAGAGTAATAAATCGGATTCAGATCTTTTTGGACATCAAAGGGCCCGTTCTCTGGATCGTAAAGCCACCTTTATGAATAAGGTGTTCCATGCAGCGATCGGAAGGCCCAATGTCGCATTAGGAAGGCCTCTGCTGGCTCGGGAGGCCCCGTTATGAATTAGGAGACCCTGTTCTGGATTATGGCGTAATCTCTATATTTTAGGTGCCCATTTCTGGAACAGGAAAAGGGCCTCCGGCTCTTTTTAATCAGGCGACAGCGGTTCCGAATCAGGATTCCCTGTTTTGAGATACCGAAGTTCCTTTCCTATATTTAGAGGCCCCTCGCGAATCGGAAGCGTCCTGTTGTACATTAGGGGTCCTTCTGTCCACCAGGAGGCCCCCTTCTAGGCTGCCGAAACCCTTTGCTGGATAAAAGAAGGTCCCCATGCTGTTGTTTTAAGAGCCGATATTTATGGACTTGGATATGGTGCATGTCATAGCTTGACAAAGGAGTACAACCCTTCGTTGCTCCTCCCCCATCAATACGACACTACGACACTGCACAGGAGTCACCCTGTGAGGAGGCCTTATTTCGTCCAGGAGGCCCTCTTGAAATCCCCCCCCCCCCCCTCCCAACTCAAAATCCGTCGCCCGCTCTTGCATAGCTCAACCATCTTACTAAGATGTTCCTATGAACTACGTTTAATTCTAACCTTTTCACAAAGCTACAGTTTCACATGTGTGAACCGCGGTTCACTTCGGCCAGGGGCCGTCGACCGCATCCGCTAACACAGCCACCGAAGCCCTCCGCTAGAGGGCGGCCACCGCGCGAGCACGGGCGCTGGACCGCAGCCGCCGCACTGAGGTCGAGGCGAGACGCCGGGCCGCGTGCAGTCTACCGACCACAGTCAGCCGGTCGGCCCCCGACGCGGCCGTCCGTCACGGTCGGATCCAGGGACGCAGCTGCACCATCATCATGCAACCAGGGCACTGCAGCTGGAGAACATCGTTGTGAAACGTGCAAAAGTGGAGAACAGTGGCGTTTCGCTCGGCCACGGACGGCAGATAGCGATCCGGAGGCTTGCGCTCTCTCGTTGAGCGCCGTTGTGTAGCAGCAAAGCTCTCGCTCGGCTGCACAGCAACCGCGCGGGTCAGAATCCCGCAACCCGCTAGAAATCAGCCGCCCGTGCGTCAGAATCCAATGGCAGGAGCCACGGTGCACCTAGCATTGTTAGGTGCAACACACATTGCCTGTTCTATGGCTGGCAACTGGGCACCGCCAACCCTAGCACTTTGCAGTCAGAACGGCTTCTGACCGGTCCGCATCTGGACTGCCATCGTTAGCCTCGCAAGCGGTATCGCATTCAGTGGGAGCATCCGCAGTGGCCGGTTTACTGATGACAGTACCCGCTTCACGCGGACTGGAGAGAGACGCCGGGAATATCGGCACCAGCGCCCCAGTCAGGGACAGACAGTGGGAGCATCCGCAGTGGCCGGTTCACTGATGACAGTACCCGCTTCACGTGGACTGGAGAGAGACGCCGGGAATATCGGCACCAGCGCCCCAGTCAGGGACAGACAGCACCCACTCATCAGACAGCGCTGGTGAAACGCACACACCCAGGTCACCAGCAGCCCGGCACCAGGTCACCAGCGGCCTGGCACCAGGTCACCAGCGGCCTGGCACCAGATCACCAGCAGCCTGGCTCGGAAGGGAATCCTAGGAAGGGAAAACACACATCTGGAGCACGAACGGCTCCCGCCTCATCTGACTCTCCAGAGCCCTCTCAATCTTCCCTCTGAGGAACATCTGCCGCGGTGATATCTCGAGGTTTCAGCCGATTGTGACGCGCAAGAATCGCTTTCTCATCGACCTCGAGACACGCCCTATAATTCAGGTCACACACCTTACGCAGCACCGTGGCTCCTTTCCAGGGCCGCGGGAGCTTGTAATATTGGCCGGCAGGCACAGCCGCCCTGTGCAAATATGCCAGAACGCGAGGGTGGAATGAAAACATATTCAGCTTACTTTCATCTGCCCTTTTGTTGCGAGCGTGCCTGCGATCGGACGCAGGGATGGCGAAGCGGCCTGCCGCAAACTGGTGCAGAGACTGTTGACATAATACGCCACCGTACGTCTGCCTGTTACAGCCGGACCATCGAGGACTACCTCCACTGAAAGTGTTGGCCCTTTTGCGAACATGAAATGGTAGAGCGAGAGTAGCCAAGTGATGAGTGAATCTAAGCGCAGTAGCCCAACATCAAGAAGGGCAGGTAAACGTCCCAGTCGGAGTATTTGTCGTCCAAGCATTCTGCCAGTGTGTCCAAAATTGTTCGCACGGGACGTTCTACCATTAAATTGTTCTCACGAGACGTTCTACCTTTAAATTTTCCTCGGGATGGTAGGACTGTATTTTTTGGATTTTTCTGCTACCAACAGATGACAGGTTTCCGCTAGAACCGCGCCCGTGAAGTTGGCAGCACTATTAGAGTGTAGCTGTCTGGGGCAGCCAAACCGGGAAAAGAACACGTTTACCAAAGTGCATGCAACAGTCGTGGCCTTCGTGTCGGGGAGAGCGTACACCTCGCACCAACGGCTAAACGCATCACATACAACCAACAAGTGTTCGGTACCACGACTGATAGAGGGCGACCCAATCAAAAATCGATGCAAATTGTGTCAAACGATTGGTTGGCATAAACTCTCCATGGTGGCACGAGCCGAGGCGCCGGGCCCTCCTTGTGGTGCAGCACTCACAGCTCTTGCAGAACGTCTCCACATTCTGGACCATCTGGAGTCACCAGAATCGTGCGCGGATCTGCTCAAGAAGCTGACACTCACGAAGCTTGCCAGCTCCGAAATGCCCTCCAGCCTGACCCACGCGAAGCGATGTTAGCACTGCTGATATTAATGAAGCCGGAACAACGATCTGCAGTCTTTCTTCCTCGCCTGTATGTCTCTTGTACATTCTGTGAACCACATCTGTTAGGCGTTTGGGCATTGGTCACCGCCCTAGAAACGGAGCTGCAGCTGCAGACGGATCAGCCTGTTTTGGTTTCACCCCTGCAAACAAAAAGCGAACATCTCTGCGACCGTCGCGTCTCGAACCTTCCGCTCCCGAGGGAAAAGGCAGTGACATTATGCACAAAGAACTCGTCAGTTTGAGTCGTAGTGTCCACACGGTCAGGCGGCCGCCGGCTCAGTGCATCAGCTGCAACGTGAAGTGCTCCTAGTCTGAATAAGACATCAAAATCGAACTCGAATTCGAATTCGAAGCCGCCTGGCAATCATACCAGTTGGATGCTTGAGAATTGGCATCTGCTAGAGGCTGGCATGGTCTGGACGTAATTTGAATCTTCGACCGAGTAGAGGATACCGGAAGTATTGTGTGAACAAAACGCAAGCCAGAACCTCCTTTCTGGTCGCACTGAAGTTTCTTTGCGATTTAGACAGCCCTTCACACCCGTACGCGATTGCCCTGTCCACACCAGCCTGGTCCTGCAGCAAAACGGCACCGATACCCTCGTCGCTGGCGTCGCAGTCCAGCGTGAATAAAGCGGTGCCATTGCCGAACTGTGGGAACGCGCCAATGACGGGCGCGTCTGTCAAGGTTTTTTCAGTCATTCGAAGGCCGTCTGTGCGTCACGTGGCCGGATAAAATTGGCCTCCTGAGTCAGCTTAAAAAGTGGTGCCGCGACTTCCGCAAAGTGACGGGCGTATTTACGGAAGAATGGTGTCCGGCCAAGAAAGCTGCCAAATTCTTTTGGATTTCTCGGCAGCGGCCACTCAACAACTTCTCGGATTTTGTCAGGATCTGCACAGACATCCGCCCGTGAGACAACATGTCCCAAAACGGCGCCACTCGAGCAAAACAGCTCACACTCCTCGGGATCCGAAGTCGGACTGGCGTTATGCAGGCGGCTCAAGATAGAGTCAGGCTTAGCCGGGACGCCAGAGAAGTCTGATCCATGTACCACAATGTCATCGAAATAATGTACACAGCTCGATGGAGGCACGTCCTTCAGCACCACATCCAGCACACGAGCGCAGGTTGACGGAGCCCCAGAACAGCCAAACGGCATCCTGGCAATACGGCGACAGCCAAAAGGGGTGATGGTAGCAGTATTATCCTTTTCCGCCGGGCTTACTCCCATCTGAAAATAAGCATTGTTCATGTCTTGAGCATAGAAGATCCTATAACCCGAAGGCGCCTGAAGTGTATCAACCACACATAGAATGGGGTATGAACAGGACCTCGTGACGGAACGACGCCCAATTTCCACGACCATCCTCCAAAAACCCTCGATTACCAGCTCCTGAAGATGTGCCTGGACTTTACCAGCCATATGAGGCGGAACATGTCTCGGTAGATGACGCACAGCCGGACTCTCACCAGTGACAATGCAACGGCTCACAAGGATGGTGAATCTTATGAGGCTGTCAAGCATCGCTCCATGTTTGCTAAGCACAGCCTGCACCTTACCCGCTGCTTCTCTCACAAGCTACATTTCCCGAGTCAAAACTGTCACCAAAGCTATAGCAGTTCGATGTGTTTGGCTCACTTGCTATGTGCAAACCTTACTTCCAGCAGCCCCAATTCACCACGCTTGGGGATTGATATAGGCTCCGTTGTTATATTGTGTACAACACATGGCACCGACGAACCGGGCTCAACAAGGGCACTAATGAACTCGAGGCCCTCTATATTAAGGTCTAGTTCAACCACTGCAGGTCCACGATAGTCATAACTGGGCACAAAGGCACGCGTGGTAGCTTCATCCCCCGGGGCGACGACAATATGACCCCTGACCTCCACGCTTCCAACCGGGACGGCTTCGGCTGAGATAGAACGCACAGTAGCTTCTAGCGTTAGGACGAGGCGGCCCCGGCGAATGCCTGTCACCCACGGGCACACTTGAAGAAAATCAAGTCCCAGAATACACGGCACGTCAATGGACCGTGACACGACAACGGACAACATTACCGGAGTCTTATCGAAATCAGAGCTTAGAACAGCTCGACCCAGAAAGGACAGATTACCCTTGGAGGCCGTTATACCGCGCACTGCGGCTTTGCGCAGCGACGGTCTGTTTGGGCAAGCTTTAAACACGGTCTGGTTTATGATGTTAATGTTACTGCCCGTGTTAAGCAGGGAGGTGCAACTGACTCACACTCTGTAGCGCCGAGCGTCATATCTGGATTTAAGTCTTCTGCATTTATGTTGGCCCTCTCCCATATCGGGGCCCGACCTCGGGCCCCGGTCCAGTCCATTGCTCGTTTCCCACGGAGAAACTCACCGCGGAAACTCACCGTCACATACCGCCTCCATGCGTCCCATTGTGCTGCAGCGCCGACAACGATGATCGATTTTGGCACGCTGCCACCTCGACTGACCCGCTCCCCGCAGGCATGACACGCGGCTGACGGGACCCGACTGGTCGTGATCTGGCGGACTGGTGATCCAGCCTTACCTTAAGCTCAGCGGTCGTCGTAACCGTTGTTTTTTTCCAAGACTTTTCTGGAAGAAACGACAGCATTTGCGCAGCGACGGTCTGTTTGGGCAGCACAGCTGTCGCTCCAGCTGAGCGACAGATATGCTGCTTCTGTCTGCCGCAGTTAGCGTGCCAACAGAAGCGCCAGAGCTGCATCTAAGGATAGGCATAAGCTGCGCTTTTGTCCGACGTTTGCCACGGTAGCATCGGCAGAGGAAATGCCGTCAACGATCACAGCCCAATGATATTCATCCGGCAGTGTTGAGAGCAAGTGGTTAAACAGCAACTCATTCTGACCATCAGCTGACTGGTTGGGAAACGCATTGGCAGCATGTTTGCGAAATTGCATGGAAAAGTTGTCTCCAGAGACTTGGCACGGTCATACCTGAGGCCCCTTAAATCCAAGTGATAATCCACTGTGCCGCACGAAAAGAACGGTGTCCGGAGGCCATTAGTTGCTGTCTGAAAAGTCCACTGTTGGTCCCTGGGTAACGCATCGTATGCAACTCTGCCAATGCCCGAAAGGCACAAGGAAAGAATATCTACTTTCGGACATCACTCCATATCTGCAGTCGGGCATATCTGCCAAAATCGTCCAGGAAATGACCAACACATATATCCTCAGGAAAACGAGGCAAGCCCACATTCACGTGGGTGGAACTCGCGCGAACTGTCCACGTTACTGATTTGTCCTCATCCATATCTGGCATCGTACAACAGTAATTCTACAAACCCAGCGAATCAAAACAGCGCATAAAAAGACAGCATGAAAACAGACCTGAATACCGACTAAAATAAAGCCTGTTTCCAAGCCAGGAAACTGGAGAGACGTCGCGAACGCAGCTGTCCACCGTCGGGACGCGCTGTCCGAGCGCACTGTCAACACAGGCGCGCTGTCCGAACACACTGTCGACACAGGCGTGCTGTCCGAGCGCACCGCCGACACAGGCGCGCTGTCCGAGCGCACCGTCGACACAGGCGCGCTGTCCGAGCGCACCGTCGACACAGGCGCGCTGTCCGAACGCACCGTCGACACAGGCGCGCTGTCCGAGCGCACTGTTGACACAGGCGCGCTGTCCGAGCGCACCGTCGACACAGGCGCGCTGTCCGAACGCACCGTCGACACAGGCGCGCTGTCCGAGCGCACCGTCGACACAGGCGCGCTGTCCGAACGCACCGTCGACACAGGCGCGCTGTCCGAGCCCACTGTTGACACAGGCGCGCTGTCCGAGCGCACCGTCGACACAGGCGCGCTGCACGAGTGCACTGTCGACACAGGTGCGCTGTCCGAGCGCACTGTTGACACAGGCGCGCTGTCCGAGCGCACCGTCGACACGGGCGCGCTGCACGAGCGCACTGTCGACACAGGCGCGCTGTCCGAGCGCACCGTCGACACAGGCGCGCTGTCCGAGCGCACTGTCGACACAGGCGCGCTGTCCGAGCGCACTGTCGACACAGGCGCGCTGTCCGAACGCACTGTCGACACAGGCGTGTTGTCCGAGCGCGAGGTACATTACGCGGTACATACACGCGCGCTGTCAAAGCACGCAGTCGATGCAGCGCGAGAGAAGAAGCCAATGTCTGAACTCCAAGGCGTTGTTGACTTCGCTGCCACCAAATGCAGACTGTGGTTCACTTCGGACACTTGTATTTACGGTCGGTTCTCGTAGACCAGCTTAAAGGGAATGTTTCACGTGTGAGAAATGGTAGCAATCATCAGATATGATGAAACAAACTCTTCTATTCGTATACTTCTTAAGTGGAGAAGACAGCTCCGGACAGCAAAACTCTATAATTAGTAACTATGCTCCTCAATGCGTCATGGTGACGTCAGGGCACCGTGCAGAACATTGATGAAGAGCCAATTGACGGCCGTAAAATCTGCAAATCGTGTTCACAAACGGCGGATATGAACGCCTCAGCAATCATACTTTCTTGGCTTGAATCGCCGCATGGCTAGTGGAATGGCAGGATTTGAATGGCGTTATTATGACGTCATAAATATCAAGGCGACTTTAACATGCTTACTCCGGTGTATCTTTCCCCATTTCCGCGGGCTGATAGCTCAGAAATGAGATAGGCTTATGTCTTAAGAGGGGCGGGATCGTGAACAGCACCAAAAGGTCTTCTAGACGGCTATTTCAGTTCCAACCCCATCTAAATGTGGAACACTCCCTTTGACTCTCGGTCACACCCGGCCGTCCCTATCCCAAGGCGCCGTCCCTCTGGCCCGCACACGCGACCTCGGCCGGGTCACGTGGTCAATGCCCGGAGGCATGAACACAGCCAGCCGCGCCGGTTGAACGCTGACCAAGCCTGCTGAAAGCCGACCCTGGAGCCCGACACCAACACCCTCCTGCAAACACATCACCCGCGGCGGTGCGGCGCTCGGGTGGCAGTTCCGCGGTCGACGTGGTGCGGGCGCTCGGAACCGCTGACGGGCACAACATTCCTTTGCGTATGGCGAGGGCCTCGGCTGTAAACAGCACGGAGGTTCGGCTCATTCGGAGGAGTCTCGCTAGATGGCAGAGGGTGGCTGGCGCGCGCGCTGGCTCGGGAAGCCGAGGCCGGCGGCCGAGCGATGAAAAAACAACTCCGAATCTGTTCCAGATGCTATAGCGGGGTGGTGCGCATGCGCGATGGAAATACTTACATCACTCTGGCGTAATCGCTATTCAAGCCGCAGGGGTCGGCCATTTGAGGCGCTCTGCACCGTGGCCAGTCTGGGGTAGGTTTTTGGGGACGGGCCAAAGAGGGTAGGACTCTGCGGCCTTTACGGGGGGTTCCTTCGTATCTTATCAATGTCTGCACGCTACAATTTGACTTGAGCGAAGTATGTTTTGATATCGGTTTATTGATGAGGCGGGTTCTTTGACGAGTATCGAGGTTTGGCGTCAGAAAGTTGAGTGTTAAGTTCGAAATTCGGCCGAGTATGGACATGGCAATAAAAACACATACATATGCAGTGAGCATATTTCCCTTTCCTGGTGCGCTGTGCCGGGGTTGCTTTGCGGTGAACGCCAAACGAACTCTTCCGGGCCCGCACATCAATACCGTGTGGCAGGCGGAGCAAGTGTGCATTAAACTGAATCACGATGCATGGATGTGGCCACTAACTGCGATGTGGTATTTCACGATGAGGACTGGCGCGAAGCGCTGGCCAGCAACGCGAGATCGTCACACTACTACATATGCGTTTGACATGGTAAAACATGGGAAGTATGTTGAGTGCTCTGGACAGAATATAACAAAAATACGTGCTATCAATAATGCGTTACATTACAAGAACCTAAAAATATATTCTTGCCGTTTGTTGTTTTCTCAAAGTCCTTTGGAATGGCTCCAGCCCCCGCGATGGTCCAGATGCATGGGGCGTCACTTGCTAGTCCTGAGTCAGAGGCGAGCAGCTGCCTCAACGAAGTCCTGTTTTGTACATCTCAACTTGCATAGAGGAGCCTGTGGGCCTCCGCCTTGGAGATGCTGCAAGACCACTGCGTGCCAAATATTGCACACTTCACTTCAGTACACACGGCAGGCGTTCGCATGGTCACGCGCACGTTGCCCACAAGTTGCAAGATGCATCGCTGGAAAGATTTCCATGCGTTCGCGAACAAAGGCTGTTCCGTCCCGTCAGCCCCGGTTTTCATCTAGAATGTGTGGGACAAGTGATTCGTACATAACCTTCCTTGCGGTCTTCCCTCTTATGCTCGGTCACGGTTGTAATTCGCTGTTCAGAGAGAGGGAGGCCGAGGCCCCTCCCCCAATTTCGGTTCCAGCCTCATAACTTTGAGAAGAGAGTGGCCCGATTCCGACAAAAACCGTTTGAAGGTGTATTTTTCACAGCAGGTTGAGTCATTTTTCGCTGGTCGGCCCCTCTCCCATCACATCTTGAGAAACTACGGCTCTAAAAACTGCTAAAAAAACTGCTCATTTCCGGTTTGAGACCCGGCGCCGATTTGACGGATCTATTTGACCGATCGGACTTGCTGTTGACTTCGTGCCAGCGCACATTCAGTAATACACCCGTAGCGTGACTGGGGTTAGTTTTAGAGTGTTTGCACCACTCCCGTGGTGTTTTCGCTCCCATGCTTAAACCGTTTGATATTTCAATTTACGCAGTTGACAATCATTGTTCGATCTGCGCCACGTTCACTGAACTTTGCGCCTGGTTTGAGGCAGTTCAAGATCGCGAGCGCTGTTGGCAGGAGCGGTCCCGGAGGATGCGTGCCGTTGCAAGAATGGTAGGTGTATTCGATTTTATTTAATAGGCACGTGTGGTAGGCCAAGTTTATTGCTTGCTTATAATAGCTGGATTGAAATTGGAGGCCAGGAGAAGGAATGCCTTAGGAGAAGTCATTTCACCCTGGAGTGTGAAACTGATGCCTAGTGAGCTTATAGGCAGGGGAACAATTTTATATAGTTCATGCCTACAGAGGCGATATTTATTCTGTACGAATATACCCTCAGGATCTCGTTTATTGTCACTTAAAACCAGGAGTTACAGGGATCAACAGGGGAGGAACAGTTGTGGTGATGTGCATTCTGATGCTTGTCATTGTTAACTATGGAGGCTTCCTTTGCAATTTACACCATTCCTATCAGGATTTGGTGTTTCTCTACAGTATATTCAGTTAGACCTCATCATTAGAGAGTGGTATGTGATGCTCAGCTGGAAGCATCTGTCCGGGCATTGAAACTGGAATGCTAGATTGAATCATACATGCTGTTGCTCTATTTATTGTGCATTGTCCCAGCCTGCGATCTGAGATCAAATCAACTTAGACCAAACATGCAAGCAGCCTGAAAGCTGATGAGCAGTGGAGAACTGTGGTAGAGGCTGTTGGCTGGCTCTTTGATGTTACATGTGCTGGGTTATAATTCTTTTGAGAAACATTGCACTTGAGCATGTCAGAATGTCAACCTGTCAGTAAAACAGCCTGTAAGTCAGCATTGAGCATGTCATTAAATGTAAATGAGATTTGTTACACATTTCTCTACATCTCAAAGGAGCTGAAAATGGTGGAGTTCTAATTAGAGCTCAACCTTCACAGCAGGTTAGTTTCTTTGCAAGTCGTAGGTTGATTTGCAGGCCTGATCCCCATTCTTGGTGGTTTGCACATGGAATATAAGATGCTTACCAGTAACATGCCTGATCAGGGTAGTATTTCCATTTGGTGGCAAGTTTGAAATTTAAAGCGCTTTAAAAGGCCAAATAATAACTCATGTTTCTTCAAAATCATTCAGGATGTTATTCTGTCAATACCACCCTGGAATATATGCCTGAGATGCATCATTTGAATGTGTATGCAATACACATCCTTATAATATAAAACTGAGAGGGATAATCTGTGTGATAGAATATAAGAATACATTTCTTTGGCATGTGTCTGTGCTTGCTGCAGGCAGGGCATGCTTTTGCATACACAGATGTTGGCCTGGCCTGCTTGTCAGAGCCTCTAATGTGCTAATGTGATTTCATCAAGCTTTGCTGCATAATCTGGTTAAGTGTTTCAGATCTCATACCTTATATATTCACTGACCGATGCAATTTTCTAGCATGCTGCACATCAACTTGAGTGCACCATCCAATCCATTTGATGATGCATGTCCAGACACCTTAAATTTCACTTCAGTTCTTGTCTGATTCATATTTCACCCACACAGCATGAACTTGCTATTTCACATGGCATGCTTGCTAGCCAGACTGATAATGAAGAAAATTCAGAAGCTTTTATGTTTCACATCATGCACACTTAAAATGATAGCCATGTGTATAGGATGGGGTGATAGGATGTCTAGTTTTAATTTGTGTGACAATATGATTTGCTTTCCTTCCCGAGCAATATCCTTTGACTATGGCCTTGTGTGTGCAACTGACTGATGTGATTTTCTCAGTATGTTTTATTGATATGTGATTTTATTGATGTGTGTGTGTCCTGGCAACTTAACAGCGCACTCAGCTGTTGAGGCTGTGCAGTGTCACCTGCCTCTCACCCTGACAGGAAGAGCAGGCCATGAGTGGAATTTAACCCTGTTTATCTGGGTTCTCTGACTGCACTTCTGGTGCCATTTTATTGTGGCACTGATAGTGCAGTGGTTAAGCCACATGTCTGGGAAAGCAGGGGTACAGGGTTTAGTTCCCAGCTGAACCTGCCCTTCCTGCCAGGGTGAGAGGCAGGTGATGTCATACAGCCTCAGCAGCTGAGTGTGTTGTAAAGCCCTAATCACACACTTGTACTTTACCAGACATGAAAAGCCATGGGTTTGACCCTGTCAACTGGCATAATGTCTGGTTATCTCCCATGGCCAATCAGCAGCAGACACATTTATGTGAAATAGATAAGTGGAATGCATGTGCCATCGAATGAGCTGACACTCATAAAGCTGGAATGTATGTACCACAGTGGGCAACGCACATTTATACTCTGACGAATAGATGACATCTCCTCTTTTTATTGGTGTGAATATGCCACATCTGTGGAATTTCTTTGTGGCAAAGCAGAACGTGGTGTGTCGCCCGCACCATTCGCTGCTGGCCGCCGGACACACTGGCTGTCCACTGACTGCTGTCGCCCTGGCAGGCGGGCGCTCGCGCTGGGCCCCGGGCTGCCGGCCGCTGATGGAGCTGGCCGACGAGCCGCCCGAGGCGCTGACGGCCGGCGACCCCTGGCAGCGCGCCTTCCACATCCTGGTGCGCGAGTATGTGGTCACCTTCCTGCTGTTCGTGCTGCTGCTGGCGCTGGCGTACGGCCTGGTGCAGCGGTACGCGCGGCGCGAGCAGGCCGAGTACGCCGTGCGTGATGACGAGGAGGCGACCGTACACCGCACCGCGCTGCTGCTCTGCACGTTCTCGCTGGCGCTGGCTGGCGGCGCCGCCCTGTTGCTGCCCATCTCGATCACGGCCAACGAGATCCTGCTCTACTACCCGGACTCGTACTACATGCAGTGGCTCAACAGCTCGCTGATACAGGGCATCTGGAAGTACATCTTCCTGCTGTCCAACCTGTCGCTGTTCGTGCTGCTGCCGTTCGCGTACCTGTTCACCGAGTCGGAGGGCTTCGCCGGCGCACGCAAGGGGCTCCTCTCGCGCGTCTACGAGACGTTCACCGTGCTCTCCCTGCTCGCCGTCCTCGTCGTCGGCATCGCGTACGTGCTGTCGGCCTTCCTGGACGGCGAGAGCGGCCGGCGCAGCCTGCAGACGGTGTGGACCGCGCACCTGCCGCTGCTCTACTCCTTCATCTCCAGCTTCGGCGTGCTGCTGCTGCTGCTCTGCACGCCGCTCGGCTTCGCCCGCCTCTTCGACCTGGTGGGCCGGCTGCTGGTGCGGCCGCATCTCATGGACGACGTGGAGGAGCGGTGCGCGGCGGCGCGGCTGGAGGCGGCCGCGCTGGTACGCCGCCTGGCTGCCGCCGCCGCCGCCGCGCCCCAGCCGCTCCTCTGCCCGGAGGAGGAGGAGGCCGAGCCGGCCGTGCGGCTGGCGGCCGTGCGCGAGGAGCTGGCGCGGCTGGAGCGGCGCCGGCGCGCCTCACCGCTGGAGCGGAACCTCGGCTACCCGCTGGTGATGCTGGCGCTGCTGGCGCTGACGGCCGCCGCCGAGTTCATGGTGCTGCGGAACTCGGTGGAGCTGCTGGTCGGCGTCAAGGCGCTACCACTCAGCACGCAGCAGGTGAGTCGGGGCCGGGAGAGACGGCCTGCAGGGCTGAGAAGCCTGCCGGTGGGACGGGTGAGAAGCCTGCCGGTGGGACGGGTGAGAAGCCTGACGGTGGGACGGGTGAGAAGCCTGACGGTGGGACGGGTGAGAAGCCTGACGGTGGGATGGGTGAGAAGCCTGATCATAGGATGAGAAAGAAGTCTGGAGATCTGGAGAAGAAGAGAGAAGACCAGAGGTATGGGGTTCGATTCCCCGCGGCGCCCGCCCTTCCTGCCAGGGTGAGAGGCAAGCAACGCCATATAGAGACAGGCAACGCCATACGTGCTACCCACCTGTGCCAGACAGGTGGGTAACGTATGTGCCCCCTGGGTATATTGTTTGGCTTTGCTCTCCATTAACTTGCCGTGTGCCGTGCCTGCAGTCCGAAGCCTCGTAAGCTTTTCTTCTACTCCCATTCGTGGGTACGGTCTGGGATGCGCGTGCTTATCTCGTGCCGTTCATGCCCATTCTGAATTGTGGTAGACGTTCGTCCATTTGCATGCTCCGGTGCTGCCCTCTTTAGTTCCGGTTTATCTGTACCTGACTGTCAGTTTGAAGCGGTGCTACCTCTGCACCGGCGTCCAGGTTGATTTCGGGAGCTTTCGTCTCCCTTTGTTCGCGGAGGGCTGGCGCTTACTGTGGCCACATATCTCCGGCTAGGAACTGTGAAAAAGAACAGGAACTGTGAGATCAATAGTCCTATTGTGCATTCGCATCTGTTCTAACGGAGGTGACCACAGATGGCAGCACGTATTCCCTGGCACCAGCAGAACGCTGGGATTCGGTCTCGGGGTGCTTCTCCGTGTAACCTCGGGAGTCTCTGCCTTGTCTTGATGTTGTAAGCGTCTCAGAGTTGGTGCTGGTGATGATGATTGAAGCTGAGATCGAAGTATGTCAAAACCGCATGGTGATCAGTGCCATGCATCCCGAAGTGTCCTCGCCAAAGCACCGAAGGGGGCCAAAATAAGCCGAAAATGCAGCCCATCAATCGGCAGGAACCCAAAATACAGCTCTTGGAATCGTGCGTAAATGTGCCTGTACCCACCCAAAACCACTGTGCCGCCAGTTCAGAGAAAGCACCCTGAAATTGTGTGTAAAGCGCGCCGCTGTCCACCCAGAGGACAGGCCGTGGCCGAGGCCGTGACCTTGCTCACCGTGTGACCAGGCCCAGTGTGGCCAGGCCCAGAGGCCGTGACCTTGCTCGCCGTGTGGCCAGACCCAGAGGCCGTGACCTTGCTCGCCGTGTGACCAGGTGACGCTCGGCATCACGTCGCTGTCGGCCCTGGGTCCGGTGGGCGCCGCCCTGGAGATCGTGCTCATCGGCTACTTCCTGCTGACCTCGCTGGTCGGCTTCTACTCGCTGCCGGCGTTTAGTCGGCTACGGCCGGCGGTGGCCGACACCCCGCTGCCGGCGCTGATCGCCAACTGCGCCGTCATGCTGGTCATCTCGTCGGCGCTGCCGCTGCTCATCCGCACGCTCGGCATCACCAACTTTGACCTGCTCGGACACTACGGCAAGGTGCGCTGGCTGGGCGACTTCTACATCGTCTTCTTCTACAACATCGTGTTCGCCGTGGCGTCGGCGCTGTGCCTGGTGAACAAGTTCACGGCGTCGGTGCGGCAGGCGCTGTTCCGGCGGCTGGCGGCGCTGCGGCGGAGCCTGCAGGCCGACCGGTCCGCGCTGCGCCGGCGCGACGCCTCCGGCTCGGCGGCGGCCGCTCCGGCCGGCGCGCCGCAGAAGCCGCCGCCGCCCGGCTGACGGGCGGCCGGGCTGGGCAGGGCGCGGCGGCGGCCGTGGAGGGGTGACAGGTGCGCCTGGTGGGAGAAGGAGGGGAGAGGCAGAAACGGCTGGTATTTCGTCAGGAGTCTTTGGCACTGGAAGGAGCCGCATATGCTCCGGTAGGAGGCGCTTGTGTGCTGGGATGAGTGGGTGGGTTCTTGAGGAATGATTCATGCGATGTGGAGCTTGGCTCGTGCAGGGATTGCGTGTGCGCCACACATCCCGGGCGTTTGGCGTCTCCCGGAGGGGGGGGGGGGGCGATTGCGCCATGTTGAAGGGAGCCTCGTGGTCGCGGGAGCATGCTGACCGTGGTGTATCGCGAATGGCGAGAGCGGACTCAGCGAGCCTTGCGACGTCTCCGCTGGGAGGCGCGGTCGAAGCTCAGCAAGTCAGAAGTCGAGAGGGAAGACGGTCGGACGGCCGCGCCGCTGTGGCGCCTGCGCCGGCCGCTGGAGACGGAGCTCTCTGTGGCGGCCGGCCGGCTCCGGACGCGCGTGGCCGCCGCAGCTGAGCCGCCGCTGGCGGACGCGCCGGGCGCGGGCCGCGCTCGCGCCCCGGCCGCGCCGCCTCGGCACTCACTCACGGGTCGTCGCTGCTGCCGGCCCCAGACAGGGGTCGCTGCCCACTCATCGCCGGTGTGTGCGGTGCATATGTCGTATTTATTTTGGGTACCTTATGTTTTTCGTTGTTTGCGCGGACGGGGTGGCGGCGTCCAGTGCGGGCGGGTGGTTTGAGAGCCGCGGCCGGCAGTATGAGAGCCGCTGGCGGACGGCGCGTCTCTGAGGGTGCGCCGCTCCACTCCGATATTAGCCGCGCTGTCCTCGACGGTGGCCAGTCTCTCCGAGTCATATCATGCGCGCGGCGCCGGCACCGCACAACCTGTCGGGGCGCGGTCGGCCGACAGCGCCGGGCCGGACGACCTGTCGGGGCGCGGCCGGCCGACAGCGCCGGGCGACCTGTCGGGGCGCGGCGGGCCGACGCACCGGTCGCAGCCGCGGTGGGTCGCCAGGTGGGGGATGCCTGCCGCCGGTATGCTGGAGGGTATTAACAGGCGGATAGGTTGGTTCGCTCGGGTCTCGTGGCTCGGAAACTTGAGTGTGTCGCAAGTCACGTGCCACATTTCGTCGCGTGTCACATGTCAGGTGCCACTTACATGTCTTGTGTCACATTTTGTGTCGTGTCACTCGCATATGTCATATTCCTCGGCATTTGACGTGCTTGGCTCGGAGAGCGGTCACAGACGTCGGGCATCCTGGCCAATGTTCACCGAAAGCTGTCCGGCCATGCGCGCGCCGGAAGTCGGTGGCTTCCGGCCGCGACTGAACCGGAAGTCACATTTTCGGCCGCCAAAACTTGCCACTCGCGGCGCACAAGTGTCATGTTGCTGTCTTCATGTGATGGAGGGGAACCCCAACGAATTGTCGCTTTCTTGGAGGGCATTCCACGCGCTCACGGATAGTGTTTTGGTAATGTGCGTCGTTGACGTCACTTCGTCGTCCGATCCATGTAGTACGACGTACCTTGACTCAGACTCAAACCGTTCTTCCGCACACACGTCGAGAATACACATATGTGTTGGTACACGGGCGTGTGTTTGACCTTGGACTGCCCTGATCCGCGGGCATGTATTTGACCCTGGATTGCCCTGATCCGCGGGCGTGCGCTTGACCTTGGATTGCGCTGATCCGCGGGCGTGCGTTTGACCTTGGATTGCCCTGATCCGCGGGCATGTATTTGACCTTGGATTGCCCTGATCCGCGGGCGTGCGTTTGACCGTGGATTGCGCTGATCCGCGGGCGTGCGTTTGAACTTCCCCGCTCCAGCAGCTGCCGACTCGGGCGCATCAGCGAGCGCTGTGGCGCGCGGCTCGCGCTCATCATCGAGCACTGGCGCGCGGCGCGCGTAGCTCGGGCGCGTGGCAGTCGAGCAGGCCCAGCGGTATTGGCGTCAACACGCCCTTTTGCGCTCGATAGACATCCCTTTGCCAGGCGTCCGTCGAAATGGTTACACTTTTGATGGCAGACTTTTGAGGGATTTTTGCCATTTCAAGAAGGCATGCATGGAGGCGAATGTACGCCAACTGTGTGACCCCAAGGCATACTTAACCGGCCTTGAAGTCGGATCCAAATCTAGTGTTGAGATCTTTGATCTAAGAATGTATACATATATATATATATATATATATATATATATATATATATATATATGCATGTATGTATATATCACTGAACAGAACTTCTACCAATGTCGTGAAGTTCTCAAAATGTGTGGCATATCGCTATTTGAGTGTGTCACTTCTCTCCCTTGCTGTTCAGTGGTCAGATATGATCACCTGAGATAAACACCCCCTGCTGCCCAGCCTGTTCAGGCTATGGTGCAGTCCTGAGGCTGGTTGACCGCAGGTGAAACTTTGAGGCGAACGCCGGAATAAATTTACCTCGCATCCGGTTTTTATCAAGCCGCTTTCCGCTTTCGCCTTCAGCTGAATGGATGCATTGCGTTGCCGGTGGCGGCGAGCAGACTAGAGGAGTGGGCCCGAGCTCGGCTGGTGGGGAAGCGCCGGGCCTTCGGAGCGGGGCAGGCTAGAGGAGTGGGCCCGAGCTCGGCTGCTGGGGAAGCGCCGGGCCCTCGGAGCGGGGCGGGCCAGAGAAGGGGGCCCGAGCTCGGCTGCTGGGGAAGCGCCGGGCCCTCGGAGCGCAGACAGCCGCACGCTGCATCTGCAGGCCTTCGTGCCCTGCTTTCGGCCGGCGGGTCGTCGCGGCTCCAGTAATAGGCCCCGTGATGTCCCGGTGCCAGCCATTTGCCTCCCCTAATTGCCCGTGCCCGGGCCGCGTCGGGGCGGAGAGCGGCCTGCGATGCCAGCCCTCATCTCCGCCGCTCCCCTGACCTGGAACGGTGCGCAGTCACGACTCGTCGTCTCGTTTATTGCGTGAGCGGGCTGGATACAGCCCCCGGTGGCCGGCTGCCACTGGGAATGGGAACGGTCGCGTCCAGCCGCGCCGCCCCCGCCCGGCCCGCGCCGGCCGGCGCGGCCCGCCACCGAGCAGAGAGCGAACCGTCGCCAGAGCGGCGTGAAAATCCACCGACGGGAGATCTTCATCGCAGCCGCGGGCCGCGGAAGACGTGACCTTGGGCCGAATGGGGTCACGAGCGGCGGCGCGGTCGATCAGTGTTTGCTGCTGAATCCCCGCGATTGCGGATGGTCCGGTTCCTACCGCCCGCCGCTGGGCCGGTGCCGCCCGCCGGCCGGCGCCGCTTTCGCTGGCGGGGCCGCCGTGGGTAGGGCTGGTCCGTGACTTCGAGGGTCACTTTCTCCGACCGGTGTTAGTCACCGGTCAGTCGGCAGGCATTGAACTCGCGCCGCCGCCGCCGTCGGGTTAGACTGACCCGCCGGCGGCGGCTGCGCTGCCTGACCCACATTGCCGGCGTAGCTCCACTTTCCTCGCAACTGGCAGTGCCTCGGCGAAAGAGCCGCGTGCGGCGGCAGCGCGGGCTCCTCCGCGCCGGGGAGTGCAGTGCGGCGGCGGCGGCCAGCATGAGGCTGAAGGCGTGCAGCATGAACAGCGGCAGGTGCCAGTCGCAATCTGTGTAGCCGCAGGCGGTCAGCCTGACGGAAGCCATGAATCTTCCCAGCATACTCTTCGTCCTACTAACGGTAAGTGGTTGTCGGTTGAACGTCCTCCGCCACGCCCTTTCCCATTTAATCTTGTCAAGTGATGCGACAACGCGTTTTGTCGCGGCGACGTCTCCGATAATGCGAGTTGGTGCACAGTTTGCCGGCTTGGCGAGCCGGTGTTCTGCGTTGGCGCTACCGTGCGAGCAACCGCAACACCTGTCACATTTGTCAAGACGTTTGTCGTTGCCCGTGCTACCGCGGCCTTGTTTAAGCGTGGCCGTCGCGTGCTGATGTCATGAGCCGTCCGATATCGTTACGACGGAGGGCGTCGAGAATATAAAACAGGCGCCCATGTGGAGTACCAGGTACGACAGACTCAGCGGGCTGGAGGGATCCTGGGTTGGGCAGATCCCCGAGCTTGAAGGCGTGGCCCGTATGGAGGGCCAGATACGACGGGTTCGGCGGGCTGGAGGGACTATGAATCGGGCAGATCCGCCGCGATTGAACACATGGTCCGGCCAGGGTCATGAGTGGAGGACGCTGAGAAACACAGAGATTTAAGCCGATGGAATGAACACTTATTATTGATCGAAACGGCCGCCTCTGCACGAAGGAACTAACATCATGCCTAGTGTCTCATTCAACGAATGGCGGTGTGCCATATCTGCGAGGGGTAAATTCAGAGGGGGTATGGTCAACGCGATAGCCGTCCCAGATGGTAAGACAAACACTAATGTTGCCTCTTGAGCCTCGATTTCGCACAGTTCGCACATTTCAAGCCCTCGCCACGCCCGTGTTCCCATCCGCCCCCATGACGGCGGGCGAGCGTGCAGATGGCGCCCATGTCGTGTGGGCTGTTTAACAATGCAGTGTATTGCAGAATGAAGTGAATAGTGCAGTTTGCACTTAATGTGCACAGCGCTTCATGTGCCGCACACCAGGGGTGTCGATTTTCGTAAATGATTGAATGGCCGAGCCGGGGATCCGACGACCTCTCCTCTCCCACATGATTTTGTCAAAGGATGTAACCCGATCTGTTTTTGGCGAAAGGCAATTTATGTTGCGGTTGTTGTATCACTGGAAAACAGTCTCTGATTTAAGCTTCATACCAGTCTTAGAGAAAGGTACCCGGAGGGGATGGGGCACTGGAGGCACGTGCCCCTTCCGCCTTTGGGCGACACAGACACACGTTTAGGGGGGCCGTGGACGGTGACACTTATTTTTGGTTGTGGTGGACGGGGGCAAGCCTAGCCATGAAATACTTGGGTCATTCCTGTATTCCGGAGCTGTTTGCTCAGATCCTCAACAGATCCAGAACATAAATGTCTCTTTTCTATAACTTGGCCTGGGCTTACGTTTGACGGACAAAAAAAGAAATCGAATTGCAAAGCAGTTTGCCCCAGCGTCTGAAGTTTCCCCTCAGTCGAGGATATGCTATTAAGGTTGTGGACTGAAATTGCCCAGCTGCACGTTCCATGCCGATGCCACTGCGAAAAAGGATCAAAGAATATTGTCTTTGCGTAATGGTCAACTCCTTCTTACGTCTTTGTAATATTCCAACCCAATATATTGGGGGCCCAAACCAAAATGGAGTGTGCCCAGCTCAACGGGGGGGGGGGGGGGCAGGGCCCTCACATAACAATACAGATCGACACCCGTGCCTCACACGCTATGTATGGCATTGAGCGGAGGCAGGGCCCCTCACATAACAATACAAATCGACACCCGTGCCTTACACGCTGTGTCTGGCATGCCCAGTCGCCAGTGAGATCATACAACTAAGGCCTCCCTGTTGCGTTGACTAAGTCTGGTTTACGTCACTGCTCTTGGCGTTTAAAAATGGTCGCTTTTAAGAGCAGCAAACGCTAGTAATGAGCCCACTGCCGCAGACGCTATCGATCTTTATTATCGTGTGGATAAATTATTAATTACTGAAGCGTGCATGACTCATGGAACAAGCCGTATACCCCTGAGGTATCGTGTTTTTGAGATGGTGAACCACTTTTCCCTTCAAGGCGATTTGGAAGTGAAATAAATGGGTGGGCTTTCAAACATCATCTCAAGACACGTGCTACCACCGGAGGCACATGCCACCAACATGCCTTTACATACCTGAGCGTCCCACCCCACCACTCAGGGACATGGCACCCGCCCGCCGTTAGAGGGCTGGGCGTGCCGGCGCCCCGCCCCCGCCTCCACTCCGAGTACGCGCCAGGTCGAGCTGCAGCACGTGGTGGTTATGGGCGGGGTCAGACCCCGGATCTGTGACCAGGCCGGGCACGCGGCCCGCGCCTTACACCTGGCGCCGATCCCATCAACTCTACTGCTCTCAAACTGTCTGTGTAGCCCAAAGGGGCGTTTTTTTATCCAAGGCCAACGGAACCAAACAAATCAAGGTGCGGTCGCCTGGGTTGACATCTTTGGGCTCTTCTTTTACCGTGATGGTCTTGTGTTACGTCGAGAAGGCGGCTGTCCACCGGCTAGCGTTTCTTCATCGGGGGCGCACGTATTCGAGCATTCACGTACTGGAGTACGCGCGTACTCGATTGCGCACGTGGTACAGTACGTGCGCAGGGGAAGAAGGGCCAAAGGCTGCTAACTGAAGTCGTTCACAATATCTGGTCACGAGCGAAGGTGCAGACCAGGCGAGTCTTATTTTAGCAATGAGAACACCTTCATCTTGCGCGACCCCGTCCAGTCGTCGCGCTTTCTGGAAGCCGATGCCATTGCAACCGTTTAATTGCAAGTTCATGCAGTTTTCAGCAATGTGAAGTGGAACTTTGTAAAGGTTGTGCCGGATAAGAAGCTAAGCATGCAAACTGTTTGGTTCGGCGGGATTTCCCTGCGACACTGCACTATCACTACCATTCCACTTCGCCGCTGGATTTACATGGAAACGGTAACATTTTCAACTGACAAAAACAAAGTTGAAGAGCATGGGTCAAAACCGGGTTCAGCCTTCAACGACTCAGTCTCGCAGTAATAAGGGATCGGCATATTCTGACGAAGTAGAAAACGAAGGACAGTCGTATTGGCAGAACAGTGGGTCGACATGCGCAGGCGGTCCAGCGTTCTCGTGTGTAAACAACGTTCGTTCTCTCGTTCTCGTGTGTTAACAACGGACCCGCTCGTTTTGCGGCGTTTATGACGAAAAAGTCGGATGTCATCCTCCAGAGCCGATTTCGACGCGACACCAGCCGCCGACGGCAGGTTGTAAGCGAGCGTGTCAACCCCATCGGACCTTATAACTGGCCGACACGTAGCCGTGTCGGTGATCTGCAAAAGCGACGAGTGTCACCGCTTTGGCAGCCGACCTCGCAAGCAATGTGTTCCACTGATATCGGTCCGTGGAAACTGCACTCGTGTCTTGCTGTTTGTATCCTGGCTGATATCTAACCAAGATGTGTTAGGTTAGTTGGTCGCAGTTTCTAGGACCACAGGTTAATGAAGTTTATCTGCTCAGTCGATTCAACTTTTTGACTTTGGCCAGATTCGTGGAAGATACCTTTTAAGCAATGTGCTTTGTCGATTAGCGTGCAAGCTATGTGTGTACATCGGTGAGAACCCACCTGTTATACTCTCACGGGTGGATGATTTCCTAACCCATAGGTTAGACGCATTGGTATCGGTTGCCGCATGCGTCTGGCTCCATTAGCTTAGTCTTTGACGCCATCTCCGTGCAAGGAGCGGAAAGCTCTCACACCTGTGATGGTCTCGCTCGTGCCATGCCGCACGAGATGCCCTGCTGGTGAATTCCACCCAAAGAACCCGACGACCAGCTTGACCACCCAATTCCCCGACAGAATGATGTTCTGTAACTGTTCAACCGAAGCGACAGCTTGTACCAGCAGGTGGAGGGACTACCGCATATGCGGCCAAGTGATTAAAGCCGCCGGGTTATCGATCGGCGGTAGGCCTGTCTTCAGCCTCCATCTGAAAGGCGTTCCACCGACCCCGGCTTTCACCAAGCCTGGAAAACTTGTGGAAGTCGGCATGCGCGTATAAGTGCAAAGCACATCAGTTACTACTGGTCTGCAGTCGAGACTGCGCGCGCTTACCAACGAGGCCAAGTGAGTCGTGAGATGGGCCACTGAAAATTTTGTACGCCTTTCGACCCGCCTAGTCGCGCTTTTGGCGGACTATTGACGGACCTGTATCTTTGCAGTCATTGGTCGTAAAGTAGCACATCTCAAAACAGTTTTGGTCAAAAAGTAGCAAATTTCTTCAAAAGTTGAGCAGCAAGTTTTTCAGGACAATCACATGCAGATTGCTTGGTAAGGTGGCATATTTGTTCAATGCTAGAAGTGATGAAAGTGAAGTATTTTTGTCAAAAGGAAATCATATCTACGGCACGTCCAGCAATACCTTTTATGACACAAACATCCGCATGTCCAACTACTCTTTCCTGCATACGACTATGACATATAAATGTGTCCACTTTCTGCAAATCATCCTTTTATTTAAGCCCGCTTTGAGATGCCTGATAATCAGACAAACATGAAGTTGCACTGTGCTCGCTTGCCGGTTGGGAAATGGTTGTAAGTAAGCCGGAACCGAATAGGCAACCAAAGAACCAAACCAAAGAACAAACGCGGAAATTTTCCCCGTAGGCAGGGCCGGATCCAGAGAGGAGGGAGGCATGGGGCCCATGCTCTCCACCCCTTGGGCCTCCATAACGTTTTATCAGCCCGAAGGGGCGCCATAATCACAGGGTGAAAGGGCACGAAAACCTTCACGTCAGAACCACATGATGTTTATTTTCAAGACGCTCCAAATGACTAGGGTATATTAAAGGTTAAAAAACTTGCATCAGTCACCTAATTCCAGAGCACCGCAATGTCCGTACCGCGTCCTTAACAAAATACGGATCAGCACGGTCGGCGAAGGAGCACTCAAGCGTTTGTCTTTGGGCACCAGAACCTTTGTTTTCAAGAGGCACCCAATTCCAAAGGGCACCACAAAGGGCACTGAATCTTCGTTATCAAGCGTCATCAAATGCCAGGACAGAATGCCGTTCAGCCCCTGACCAGGGAATTCAT